TGGTCCGTTTTCTGTAGTTAACACTTCCCACCTTATCAGTGTGTGGTATTTATTGTTTTGAATATATATTACTTCCTTCTATGTTTACTGAGAACCTATTGATTACTAAGTCTTGCTCTAACAATTTTCACATCTGTACCTCATTAAGAAGAGAGTAGTGTATATGTATGCTTGTATATATATACATACATATATAAAAATATATATTTAAAACTAAAAAATTACTGCAGTCATAAGCACATATAAAGTAGATTATTCACTTATGCCCAGAGATGAAAGGTACAGGGGGCTGATGAACAATCGCACAATTTGGAGCTAGAAAAAAAACTCATTTATCCTTTTTTCTTTATTAGGGAGTATGCCATAAAGACACTTTTCAAATTGCTTTCCTATTATTTTAGCTCCAGTTATGCTATCATTTGTGGAACAATTGTGCTTCTTTCTGTGAGAGATGCCAAGGGTGCTGTTAGCAGCTTGTTTATGTATGGCATTGAAAAGAATAAAGTTTGATCCCATTCTGTGTGAATGGTTTGAGCAGTGAATAAATAGACCAGGCAGATAAAGTCATGACTGAATGAATAGGAAAAGGCCATGCTGGGGCCAGGGAGAAGCTATCACATCCATTGTAAATTACCAATGCTGGTGGCTTCCTGTTGGCATACAGGCGAGGCATGACTGGAAGGTGTATTGTTATTAGGGGCACAAGTTGTCACGAGCGATAGATCCGCTACAACAGCTGAGGGGTCTCGGGACATAGCTGTTCTTGTGAGCTTGGCATATAGTAGTAGTATGCCTCCTGGAGAAAAGCAAGTGGGGTAGTAAAACTGATAGCTGACGCTAATCAAAAGACCCATGTGATGCTCATCTGCTCAGATACAGCACGGGTTGATGTGGGAGTGATTTCTTATTAATAAAGAAACTGCCTCGGCCCTCATAGGACAGAAAATTAGGTAGGCGGAGTAGACAGAAGAGAATTCTGGGAGAAGGAAGCTTAGTGAGTGAGTCGCCATGATTCTCCCGCTCCAGACAGACGCAGGTTAAGAGCCTCCTTGGTAAGCCAGCTCGTGGGCTACACAGAATATTAGAAATGGGTTAGAACAATATGTAAGAGCTAGCCAATAAGAAAACTGGAACTAGCCGGGCCAGGCAGTGTTTGAAAGAATACAGTTTCCGTGTAATTATTTCTGGGGATAAGCTAGCCATGAGGGCGGCCGGGTGCCGGGGACGCAGCCCTGCCGCCGCTCCTGTTTCAACAACGGGTGCTGACGGCACACATGGAATTCAGTCCCCAGCGACACGTGCACACGCACAGACAGACACGTGCACACACACAGACAGACACGTGCGTGCGCTTATGTCCGTACTTGTCCATGTTTAATGTGACTTGGAACATGAAGTTTGAGAATGTCTAACACAGCAAAGGGGAATAATTATTAAAACTGATGTCAGTCATCATGTGTCCTCTTTTGTATCCTAAGAATACACAGGCTTACCTCTGAAATCTCTTTAAGTCTGAGAACGTCAAAGACAGGTGATGTCCTGAGGTCTCAGTAGCTCTCTTACTTTTCCTCTTCATATTCTGCCACTGAGCCCCCAAATGTCAACATGATGAAAGCATTTATTCTTGTTCTCATTGCACCCCACCATTTTCTGGATGTGCACAAATTACCTCCTGTAGACTTAAACTACTTCCTATAAACTATTTAGAATTTTCTTCTAGAAACCAGGTTGTTCTAAATTTTTCAGAACAATCAGTTTCGTCGCCTCTTCCCTCTACCATGTGACCCATCTTCATTGTTTTTGGACTATGTATCTGTATCCAGGGAACCAGTGCACTGACAACGGACATTTTACTTGTACCGTCACAGCTCAGTGACTCTGTGTCACTAAAGCCAAACCACATCTGTTGCAAAGCAAAGTGACAAAACTCAGAGTCACACGCCAGCTGTTCCCGCGGTGGTGACACTCATTGTGGCCTGTACCCTGAATTGCGGCATCATCTGAGTGTTCACCAAAAGGAAGGTTGTACCTAAGTCTCCAGAGCTAATTCAAAGACAGCAGAGCACATTCCATCCTATAGATCAAAACCAGCCAATAAGTAGAGATAAAGCCAGTAGCGGAATAGAGGAGCCTGGGTGTCCTCTGCTGTAACACCCAGCAGTGGTATCGGCACTCAAGACGTGAGCCCCTGTGTAGCTGAGTATGGGGCTGGGTTTCAGTGACCAGTGCTGAACCACTGTCTCCAAAACCTGTGTGTTGAAACATCTTAACCTTCAGGTAGACCATTACGTCACACGGAGACAGGTCAGAGAGGTGCCTTCTCTTTCAAGTTGGTCTCGAGGAAGCAGGAAGGCAACCAAGCCATTTTACAGAGCTGGGAGTGGGCCCTCACCTGGTTCCCACCCTCAAACTAAGAGAGCTCCATTTCTGTTGTTTCTGGGACTGTTCTCTGGTTTATGAGTCTGTTAAAGCTGCCTGAATAGACTACAAGACAAACACCCCAGAACAAGAGACAGGTTTAGGTCTTTCCCTGGAGGTATCCATTGAAGACAGCCTCTTCAGCTTGCTTCTCAATAGTTGTTACCAGAGTATTGGTGTTAAGCAGTTCTGTGATACTCAGAAGTAGTTTCTCACCAACATCTGTGGCCACCATGCTCATGAGAGGTATTCCAGCTAGCATGGTTACAGAGCCACGTACGTAATCAGCACCCAAGCTTAGCTAACATCCTTCCTCTGTGTATAAACTGGGTTAACCTGGGAGCCCTGACCCTTAGGAAGGGTCAGTTATGTATTCCTATACCTCAGAATGACATTTAGACTTTGCCTTTATAATTTCTTAATTTTCTCTGATATCAAGCAAGCAAATATTTTAGTGAATATAAAGCGGAATATTGTTCCTAGAAAATTTATGTATTTGGTACTTTGGAAGAATAAAAATTAAGTATGAGCAAAAAGATTGGGCCCGGGAGCAGACTTAAGTATCCAAAAGGACCGTTGTCTTGGTCTGTTTGATGATTGTAAATGAACCCTAGACTGAGTAGTGTTTTATAAGAAGTTTATTGTGCATGGTTCTTTAAGCTGAGAAACCTAGGATGCAGATGCCTGTGGGTCCTGTGTCTAGTGAAGGTTGCCTGCTTCCCAAACACCAGCTTCTTGCTGCCTCCTCACAAGACAGAAGGGACAGGGCACATCTTTCTACCTACTAGATCTCCAGTCTCATTCATGTGAGCAGAACCCCATCGAAAGCCTCATCTCTTCATAAAATGCCTGACACCCACACTCAGACATAGCACCCCCCAGTGAGTGTGCAGAGGACACAGCGCCATTAAGCTGGTGGGTTGCTTTGTTCCTTGCTGAAGTAGAACAGAATTTAAAGGCTCGTAGATGTTCAGAAAGCAGTCTGTTTACAGGATCCCACAGCACTAGCTTGTGAAATATCAGGATTCTGCAGAACACCTTCCCAGAGTCCCACACTGCCTCTCCCCGGTGGCTTTAGCTGCAGAACATTGGCCGTGAAAATAATGTGTTTCAACATAACTATGAGATGCGCAGTGCAGGCTTTGGGGCATAGCCGACCTGGTTTGAATTTCCAGTCTGTAATTCTGTAGGTATTGGTTAAGTCACATGTCATCTGCTAATCCTGCTTCCTCGTCTACAGTGCTGCTCCTGGAGTTTTGTGGAAGTTAGTGACACCCTGTTTGGGAATGTGCTAGATACAGCATTCATACTCTGTACAAGATAGCTGCTAAGAATCCATAATTTTTTGTTTTTTGAGTTTTATGTCACTTTTTCGCTTTTTGCTTTGCTATTTTGGGACTTGTCTAAGGCCTCAGTAATGATAGCTGCTAAGAATCCATAATTTTTTGTTTTTTGAATTTTATGTCACTTTTTCGCTTTTTGCTTTGCTATTTTGGGACTTGTCTAAGGCCTCAGTAATGTATGATTATCATACATTACTGTATTTCTACATGTATGACCCTGGGCCTATAGTCAACTAGACAGTAACACACGCACTATAATTTGATATCTAATATAACAAGGTATACAATTCTTGATAATAACCTATAAATATTTTACATAGGTTGGTATTAATAGAGCCAGTTTTAGTGCTTTGGCACTAGAGAAACTGAGGCAGCTGGGTGGTAAGTTTGAAGCTGACTTGAGTCCACATAATAAATTCCCAACCAGAGTGGGCTTTGGAATAAAGATCTGACTCAAAAATAAACAAAAAATAGAAAGAGAAAGAAAAAATAACTGTCTATGCCATTCACTAAACAGGAATTGAGAAATACTTATTTATGTACTACGGTTGTAAACAACAAAAATATTTAATAAGTATGTTTCAGTTAGGGAACGGTATTTAGACTTATGGGGAAACCTAGAGACGTCCCCACCCTCAAAGGACTGTTTGGGTTACTTGTGAAAACACCAGAAATGTCACAAAGCGAGCTTATTTCATTGCAAATGAAATGGTTGCTGCAGATAAGGAAGGCTTGGCACTCCGAGAGGACACGGTTGTCTCTGAAGCCCAGAGCGCAAGATTTTTGAACTTGTAATTGTTAGCAGTAATACCAAGAGAAAGGAAAGGGGTGTAATTAAGAAAAAAAGAGACCCAGTGTGCTACAGCGTCCAGGACAACTGGAGAAGCCTGAGGACATCCTCAGGACTCCCACATACCTTCAGTGGAAGGCTCAGACCAAGATGGGCTTCACACTATGGCAGATTAAACTGAACTTTAAAGCCTGGGCCTGTAGACCATGGTAGCTTTGTTGTTGGAATGGCAGCAAACAGGATACATGGTTATGGAAGTCAGACTCCTCAAGAGTTCCCATTGCAAGAGAAACACTTGGCAAGCCTTCCTTCACCAGAGAGGGACAGTCACACTTCTTTCTCACACCAGTAAAGAATCTTTGGCTTTCTGCTGGAACAGTGATCATGGCAATGATGAGAATGTAACGTCAGGAAATGCCTGGTTTTAAAATGTGTCTTTAATCTTCTAGGCCTCTTTTTCGTGGAAGTTCAGATGTGGATCAACTAGGAAAAATCTTGGAGTAAGTAAAAATTATAGTCTTACATCACATGAATGTCCGCAGTGACTGTCCTCTGATGTTCTTGTTTCTCTCTTATCTCTCTTGCCTCAAGCTGAAGCTGCAGACAGTCTTACTAGTTGGTGTGGTGAGTTGGGACGAGGAAGAGAACCTCACTTAGGGCCGGTCATGATGCGTAACCTTGCTGCTGTGCTCTGAATGCTTGTGCGCTGCCTGGGTGGCTTTTCGCTGCTTCTCCATGCTTGGCTGGGCTCTGAGTGCCATCTCCATAGTGCAGATGTTGTCTGCTTGTGGTCACATCTCTCCTGTCCATATAGGTATCCTGTTCCCATTGAAAGTCCTTGATCGTTCTTGTTGGTTTGGCGTTGCATTCCTAAGCCAGTCACATTTTCCCCCAGAACAGCAAACCAGGGGATGAGAGCCTGGGTTCTCACCTGTGACAGCTGTAAGTGAGAAGAAGTCTCACGAAGCACCCTTCAGTGGGTTTGCTGCCCCATGCCTGGCTGGTGATTGCTGGCTTAACCCTGTTTTCTTTAGCTTTTTCACCTGAGAAACGGAACCAACTTTAGGTTCTCTGTTTGGTCTGCTTTCCAACCCGCGTGTTGCTTCCGCTTGTTTGTTCCATTATTGCTCTGTGATGATTTGCGAACCTCATTCGTGCCTCCGCTTGTGCATGTGGGATGGGCGTGCTTTCATGTCACTAGAATGTAACTGTGTGGCATCCTTTTTGGATATGTGCTTTTGCCGAGCCCCACCCCAAATGAAATAGAATGGGAAAGCGCACAGGAGTCCTGGCTACGAGTCACCACCCTCGTTGGTTGGTAACGTTTTTATGAATCTCAATCTCAAGTGATTTTTTTTAATGGAATTGTAAATCTATAAGATCCACTGCCCCGCAAAAACATAAACAAACAAATAAACAAACAAAGCGAGAATTATTTACTTAAGCACGGTTGCTTCACACCTGGAATTCACCCCGAGCTAATGACTGGGTTCTTCTGGGAACCGGAAGCTCTTCCTGCTTTGAAGCTGAAAGAACATTTGCTGGCTTTGATTTGTGTGTCGGGGAGGCAGTTGACTTTGTTATCGTTGGTCTGGTATGGTCTGGTCTGGTCTGGGGAGTCACCAAGCGTGTCTCCTGACAATCCCATAGAATGGACACATTCTCAACCAAGCTGGTGTGTTAACCTACTTTTGCGTGGAAACTCCTGTCATGCGTTGGTGGACTTGTGTTTCCCGAGACTGTGAAATGTGTTCTGTGTGCATGTGATCCTCAAGGACGGACCCAGGAAAGTAAACTTTCTAGTTTTCCCCTGCAGAGGACAATCTTGGTGACATCTGCCACCAGGCAGTGGAGATCGTCACCTGCCCTCCCATCCTGGGAGTCAGGGCCACCCCCAGCACAGTCTGCAGACCACGGAGCCAGTGCAGTGGGTCAAAAGGAACATTTGGCTCGCCCCGTGGGAAAGCCCATTCGACTTTTGGGCAAGGCCTGGCACTCCCACGTGGCTAACAGAAAAGCAACCACAAAGCCTTGCATGTTTTGTGCCTTTAGATTATACTTCTTGGTTTCTGGCTTTGCCTCATTAATCTGAACGGTCCTCTCCGCAGGAAAGGGACCATGCTGCACCCTAGTGTCACTGCCAAACTACTTGACATTGTTTCTTACAGGAGCCAGAGAAGACAATAGGGTGGACTTTGTTTAATTTTTATATGTGTATGCATTTATGTATGCATATATCTCCGTGCCTTATGTGGAGCTGATATGTACTTACATATTATGCAGACAGACATAGTGTTTCTCTGAAATTTTTTTGGCTTCTGACTGCTGTCTTCCTAAGATTTTAAATCTATGTTTGAAACTGCTAATAATACTCAGGAGACTGAGATCAGAGGATTATGAGTTTGAGGCCAGCCTGGGCTGCACGGTGAAACACTATCTTTAAAAAATGCTGCCAATAAAATAATTTGAATTCCAAGCATCTTTATAATCCATTTATAGGTGTACGATGAGAAAGTTGTACAAAGTCCTGATGGAAACGGGTTAGGAAGGGTTTTCTTTTCCTCTGTGGCCATTCTATTCAAACACGTCCCTGGGTCGGCTTCCGTAGGTAAGGTGATGTTTTTACCCCTTCCTTCCTCACGTTATGGTTCTTACTATTGAACATAGTTGTATGTTGCTCAGGCGTGATTTGCTCGTTGTTTCCAGTATATCTATGAGTATATCCATAAAAGCATATCACATGCCTTTACGTGGCTGTCTGTTGATGCCTGAGGGAGGGAACAGAGCCAGTTTCTTGCTCCATGCCTCGTGACGTGTACACTGGTGATGGGGAATGTGCTCTCCCCAGGGAGGTCTGTGACCTGAGAAGGGAACAGTGACAAAGCCCTGTAGATCCTGTGACATTTACCACCTATCTTCCTGCAAGATGGTTGCAGCCACCCCTGGTTCTGTGCCGCAGAAGGTGCAGAGCGGAGCTTTAATGTGGGTCAGCGCCATTTCTAACTAGGGTCAAAATAGTTTGGATCAGGATCTGCAGCTATACAACCTGTCTACTAAATTATGTTTTTGTTTTTTTAGTTCAGAGTTACTCAGAGTCTGTGTACTCTCCGAATAACACTTAACTACCTATACGTAAACTAGAAATAATACTACATATGTATAAATTGTACGGGGCCACCAGCCTGCCAGTAATAAGTAACGAATGGATATCGGCTGCGTGCCAGGCACTGTCGTATACAGTTCCAATAAATTACCACCAACCCTCCTGTAACTGCCAATTACTACTGTCGCAGACAAATGACGCCAAAGCTCATGGTTGTCATGTAATTTGTCCTTGCATGTCAGTTAAGGGCAGGTGCCGCTCTGAAGCCACAGCTGCCTCTTCCCAAAGCCTGTGGCTCGCTTTCCCTCCACGTCTCTAATCCCAGAACGGTTGTCAGGGGAAACCCAAATGACATCGTTTTGGTGGACTGTCTCTCACTTTGGAATACCACTAAATAGTGCTTGCATAAGATAGGGCTGACATCCTTTTTAACCTTATTTTTTGAGTCTATGTAATTATTTAGAAAATTACTCCTTAGTTTAAAAACCTGGGTAAAGTAGTGTGTTATTATTAACACTGTACTGGATGGGCATCATGAAAACGTGTCTTCACAGAGCTCTTCAATCAGAACACAGAGTAGAGCTCCATTGGGCTAGAGAGGCATACGTGGGTGTCCAGGTGGCCCTGTGTGGCCCTGCCACGTCACTGTACCAGGACTTGTCTCACCTGCGAACCTCCCACTAGTGTCTGCTGCCACGGACTTCGCTTGCTTCCTGTGAATGAACTCCATAGTGTTCTCTGAGACTGTGCCGCGTGCCTGCTCTAGGATTTGGTGAGGAAGCTATATGACTGCCAACGTTCACATTCCCTTCTGGTTCTTCTGTAGCGTGATTGGACTCCCAGGAGAAGAAGACTGGCCCAAGGATGTTGCTCTTCCCAGACAGGCTTTCCAATCCAAATCTGCCCAACCCATCGAGAAATTCGTGACAGATATTGACGAACTAGGCAAAGACCTACTTCTGGTAAGTTCCCAGATCATAGTTGGCCGGAGCCCATTGAAACTGGACAGCCAACGTTGTGTACCCCAACCACACGGCACAGGAGGCTGTGAACTTCCTGTGGACAGCCAACATTGTGTACCCCAACCACACGACACAGGAGGCTGTGGACTTCCTGTGGACGGCCAACGTTGTGTATCCCAACCACATGGCATGAGAGGCTGTGGTCTTCCTGTGAATTTTGTTTCCAGCTGCTTGTTTTTGACTCTGGAATTTCTTTTCTACCACAGCTCTTAGCACCATGTTTTGCATGTGTATTTGGATGCAGTGTTAGAAGGCTCTGGATTTTTGGGGCACAGGCTTCTTGACAAGAAAATGTGTTTTCTTGTTTAAAGTTCCATGCTACTTGAAGCAACTTGATAATCATATCCATGCAAATGTTTTCCCCAGAGGAACCAAGTAGCAATTCTTCTAGTTATTGCTTTATTTAATAAGCATTTAGTGTGCTATGCACATATAAAATATCCTGCTGAAAATAATATTCGGAGGCTGGAGAGCTGTCTCAGTTCTTACGAATATGGGCAGCTTTTGCTGAGGACTCGGGCTCAGTGCCCAGCACCTTGTAACTCCAGCTCCAGCAATGCTGTCTTTTGGCCTCCACAGGTACCTGAGCTGTTGTGCACGTTCCCCCATGCAGACTCAAGTATACACATACCTAAAATGAAGTATCTTTTAAAAAAACAAACTAAGCACTTTTGTACTATCAGACTCCTCATTATTGCTGTCATGTATACTGTCCTGCCCTTGGGGACACGGAAGGCCCTCCTTCTGTACTGTTCTCATCGTCAGAGCTCTTGTGAATAAGAAGTCTGAGTTAAGAGCCCTTACTACCTGATTCACACTGTGGATCGAAACCTGCTCTTCTCGTATCTGTCTCATCCTGCCACCCAGGCCAGAGAGGCAGCAGGTTCCTGCCATGTGTTTGTCTCATGGAAGCAGGTAGCTGCTCCCAGAAGAAACACAATATCCCTGAAGACCTCAGTCAGCTGATGGTCAAGGGCAACTTGAATAAAGGTAAGGATGTTCCTCACAGCCTACCAGAGTATTCAACTCTTGGATAAATTATAATTCTAGAAGGTAATTTTTAACTCAGTTATTTGACAATCAAATTAAACCTTTTTGACAGAAGCAATATTTATTGTTCATGGTGCTTTAGTTCATTCTCATGCTGGTGACTTTGTTCCTAAAGCATAACAGTTAGAGAAAGCTGAGAAGCCACTTTTCCGGGACTTCCCCCAAGGTCCAATGCACAAGCGCACTATTTGCCTTGATATGTTTCCGATAAGATGTTTTCTTTATTGTAGAAATGCTTGACGTTTAATCCAGCGAAGAGAATATCCGCCTATGGCGCCCTGAATCACCCGTACTTCCAAGACCTGGAGAGGTACAAGGACAACCTGCACTCCCACCTGTCACCCAGCCAGACCACCTCAGAGCTGAACACAGCCTGAGGATCGTGGGGGATACCATGAGCTGGTCATCTAAACATGTCGGTGGCTGACGAGTCCCCTGAGAAAGCCTTGCAGAGCAGTTGAAGATGGCTGGCTGCGGGCCTTCCAGATGCCAGCTTCTGGATGGGCTCTGCTTCACCAAGGAGACCACCTAGTTTACTGTTCCAAAATCAATGCAAGAGCGATTGCCGCTTTATGTTCGTTCACCTGTTTGTTGTCTGTCTGTCTGAAGAACCTGGAAAACTTCCAGATGAAGAGAAGCTGCTGACCCATCGTGCTGCCGTTTCCTTTTCTAACCTTGAGTGCTGCCCACTGTGGGATGGTAGTCTAGGTCCGGCTGAGTCATGACATCATCTCTGCAGCTGCTGGGCCTGCTTTGGTACGAGAGAGAGAGAGAGAGAGAGAGAGAGAGAGAGAGAGAGAGAGAGAGAGNGAGAGAGAGAGAGAGAGAGAGAGAGAGAGAGAGAGAGAGAGAGAGACTGAGAGAGAGAGAGAGACTGAGAGAGAGAGAGAGACTGAGAGAGAGAGAGGTTCCTGATCTTGTAAAGTGTTAACTTTTTGTAGACAACAAGAATAATTGAATTTTAGAGACTAAGGTGAGGGCTTAGTACAATGAAGGTGATTGAGCAGTGTGTTTCTCTCCAGTTAGAAAGGTGAGCCTATGTCCTCAGCATTTCCTTTCTGTCCAAAAGCTTTTGCTAGCTGCAAACGATAAAGTTTTGGACACCACATAAACAAGAAAGTAAAAGGGAGGGGAAACCCGGTATCTCTAAAGAGACTTTTTCTAAGCATGCATTCTTCTGTTTGCTCTTTGGAAAGCTGAATGTATTTGTCCTAAGTCCTGTGTATAGCACAGTACCTAATTCTTCTCTGGGGAAAGGCCCTATACGCATTTTATTACTTGCAATAGATTTAGGGACTGTTCTTCAAATAGGTTTTAAAGATAAAGAAAGCCTATATTTCCTGGTTTGAAATGTTATTTCCTTTGCATTTCTTGTTATTTAGTTTTTTGTTTTAGAGAGTTGCTCCTTTCTCTGATTTGGAGATGGTTCTGACTAGAGACAGGAATGCCATGAGGTTCTCTCCACCTTACCTTCCACCCCATACTTTCTGCCGTGCATTTGCCTCGTTCTGATTTGTCTGTACAGTGCCCACCTTCTCCATCGCCAGCACGTCTAACACATGTTCCTACCATGCCTAGCTGAGGACGGATTGCCTAGCTGCCCGCTACACCACACCTCTGCCTGCCCACTGTCTTTCACTGAATGCTTTGCTACCAGCCTTGTTTGCGGCTCATGGCCCCAATTCTGCAATCCTAATAGGTTCCTCCTACATCTTCTTAGTGTGGTCTTCCCACCTGCTGTCACTGGGGTCACTTGTTCAGTGTGTCACCACCATGTAGATTGCTTTTCATTTTTATAGAGTGGATTGTGGATGAAATGTCTGAGGGGATGGGTGTCTCTCCCCCTTTTAGAGAAACTGTTTACTTTCTCTCCATCCCCTGGATGTGCTGTTTTCTGGTGCCTTGTGCTTTCTGTAGAGCCAGCCTGGCCGGGGCTTCATAAACAACTTTCCCTTACTGTCCGCTGTCCGTCCTCTATGTTCCGTGCCACTTTTGCCTTATCCACAGGTTTAGTGCACTGGTAATTAGAAAGCACAGAAAGCAGCTTTGGGGAAATTTAGCTGTCTTTTAATCATGTTTGGAGTGCATGTAAGTAGAAACTAGATCATGTTTCAGCATACTTGGACAGAATGACCGATGTCAGATTCAGATGGTGTATTCTGAAGCCTTACTGAGTTTTTTTGCAGCTGAATAATGCTTGTGATTATCTTGGATAGAGGTGAGTTAGGTGCCCTTCCTATGAGCTTTGGGGGCTGGGAGTCAGTCTTTTCCCTTTTTAATACATGTATTACATTCTTCTGATTCACTTTCTTTAGAAACAAGTTTTTTTTTTCAAAAGCAAGATTTAAAAAAAAAAAACTAGGCTGTGTGAATGTCCTGCGTATCATCATTATAGCCCTGGGATGTGTCGTGAGTGCCGTCAAAGCTCGAGACAGGCTCGGAGCAGCCAGCAGGTCTACCCTAAGTCTCACCAGAGCAGTGGGTTCTGCTTTGCCTTGAGCAAGGCTCAAAATGTAGGCTTTTGCTGGGGCCTAGAAATTGAATATAAAACTCACTTCACCATGGCCTACTCCATTTTGGATTAGCATCCATGTGATAAAGTGAAAACAATTTTGAGGGTTTTGCTTTTGGAAAAAAAATAGTGTCTCCCCCAAATTGCTTTATTTGAGGAAAATACAGCTGTCTTAAACTGGAATCTTTTAGTATTCTGCAGAATTTTTAAGGTATAGTATTCAACTTCATTATTGTCATCTGTTTGGGGCTTATTTCTAAGTAGGTTTTGGAGGGATTGTTGTTTTCGGGGGGGGGGTTGATTTTGTTTTGTTTTGTTTGTTTTTTGAAGCGGGGCTTTTCTGTGTAACAGTCCTGGCTGTCCTGGAACTAGCTCTTCTAAACCAGCCTGCCCTCAAACTCGCAGAGATCCTCCTGCCTCTGCCTCCTGAGTGCTGGCACTAAAGGTGTGTGCCACCACCGACCTGCTTTAAGTAGTATTTTAAGTCACAAATATTTTGGTATTAGAAACTTGGCATATTGTGCCAGAATGATCCAGAAAGGACATCCCTGCCTCTCTGGACCTCATCTCTGCCCCAGCTCTTCATTCGTGCAGTTCTCTGGGTGTCGGGAACCTTGCCATCCCGGCCCTTAGTAGTACATGGAAGCATAAGGTGGAATAAAGGCTCAGTGAGCAGGGCTCACCCTGGGGCCTATGGATTCAACACCTTTGTCACTAACGAAGACCTTCTGCCCCAGGGTTCTGCTGAAACAGCTCTTAGTGGTCAGAAACAGGTTTGAAATTACTGTAGAAATAGTGGAAGAATGTGCCTAACCACTTCTCTTCAGGGTTTGGTCCTGGGCCCTGGCATTGCAAGACTGTCTGGAGTTGTAACATCCTCTTCAGAAACAAGAGGGGAGATTTTCCAAGTAGTCCCCATGAGCTCCCAAGCTATCTTGTGAGGAGTCCTGACCGCCCCGCCACCCTGAGACACACAGTCTGTGAGCACCCAGTGGGCTGCAGCATCCCACTTTGTCCCTCTTTGAAGAAGATGGGCACTCAAGCAGCGGAGAAACTGTCCCCTGCTTCTCACGATTTCCTCTCAGAACACCCCCTGAATAGTAGATTTGAATTTAGTCTCAGGTGATTTACTTCAAATAGCCCAGAAGTCCTCACTTAAAAACCGAATTTCCACGTGGTCATTTTTAGTGAAAAAAAAAATCTAGGATACCTTCTGGGTGTTGCCATGAACTACTTCTCTTTGAATAGAAAGGTGTGCAGATGGCTCCGCAATGGAATGCTGGTCAGCTAGTGTGAGAAAGTCAATAGGACCAAACACTTTGAGCTTTAACGTATGTCCTGAAACTGTTTTCTAAAGACTTTTATTTGTGTGTGTGTGCCACTGTGAGTATGCCAAGCATGTTGCCGGTGCCCTGGAGTCCAGGAGAGAGTGTCGGATCCCCTGGAGTTGGAATCTCGCTGACATGGGTGCTGGGAACTGAACTCTGGTCTTCAGCAAAGTCAGGAAAGAGCAGGACTCGATTTTAAGCTCTGCAGCTCCTGTGCAGTTATTTTTTAAGGGACCATAGCTGCTTCTATTAAGAGCTATGCCTACTAAAGGCAGTTACAGCCATTCTCATTAAGGGAGTTAAATCATGTAAATGTTTGAGAACCACACTTTTGTTGCACAGCTGAGTTGAGCAGATAGCACTAAGTCCCTGTAATAGTGAGCACATATTGATAGCCTACAGAAGAACGCACACTTTACATTGTAGCATGAAAATGAAGATACTATATGACTTCTGAATCTTTAAAAAGTATGGAATAGTGGGAACCAACACAGCATATTCAAAGGGTATTTCCAAATTTACAGACTTTTTGAATAATACACTTTTGCCTTTAAGTATATTCTAAAAAAATTTTTTTAGGTCATCCAGCACTTACAGACTTGGTATGTCAACAAAACACATTCTGTGGAGACACACAGAATGGTTGGTGTTCCTTCCTCGTTTTATAGGAAGAAAGCAGCCACCTGAAGCTATACTCAAAATATATATACATGCCTGAGAACAGGCACTATAAAAAATGAAAATTTGAATGGCATTTACCTCCTCTTCAAGTGAGAATAGACAACTTAAAAGCCTTATTCAAAAATCCTCCTTTGTTTCGGGGGTAAGTCTTCTTGTAGAAGCCGGGCAGACGTGCTGCCTACAGCCTCCTGCCTCTTCCAAGCACTGGATTGCACATCTCAGTCATATCCAGTTTGGTCTGGCTTTTTGTTTTGTTGTTTTTTAAGGACATAAGCCAAAGCTATTCTTTTGCCCTACTGTTTTCTGAAAGAGAGGGGTTTAAAATTTTTTGTTTGTTTGTTTTGTTTTGTTTTGTTTTTATTCAAGACAAGATTTGTGTAGCGCTGGCTGTCCTGGAACTATATTTGTAGTTCCAGGCCTTTAACTCACAGAGGTTCACCTGCCTTTGTCTCTCTTAGGCTGAGATTAAAGGCATGTGCTGCCACCCATATTCAGTTTTTAACTGTTTCTCTCAGTTTGCTTTTTTGAATTTTTCTAATGAAGTACTGAATTGCCTTCTCCAGATATTTTCCCCAGGATTTTCAACAAGGTAAATCTAACTCGCTGCTAGAATATCTATGCCTCTGTGACACCCGAGAAAACAGCCACCTGAGAATAAATTGCTTTTGCTCAAAAGTTTAGAAATACGGTTACAACAATTCAAAATGAAAATGGCAAGGATGAAAGGTAATTTAGAGTTGGTTTGGTTTGGGGGCAGAAGTCTATTAAAATTCACGGTCCCCTAAGATTTAAGTGGGGTTTGTTGTTGCTGTGCCTGATGACCTTCCACAAGGTGGCAGTCTCAGAAAAATCTGACCAAGGCTAAAGAGATGCTCTAAAAATATTACTGCAGACTGTTTCCCCCACATCTTTAACTGTCATCTCGCATGTTTCTTCGGGTAACTAACATCTTCATAATATTCCACAGCTTACACATCTGCTTGTTAGCTAGCTTCTGAGTAACTAACATCTTCATAATATTCCACAGCTTACACGTCTGCTTGTTAGCTAGTTTCTGAGTAACCAAATTATGCTTGAGGATGATATTTTTAAGAGATGAAGGATGCCTTTACGGTTACTTAGGGGACCCCAGTTGCCTGTAGTTCTAGGGTGTCCAGCTGCTTCACAGATGAAGCCAACCCCCATCTGTAAAGAGGCTAGCTTTGTTAGGGCTCCAGTCAGGACGCCACCCCTTCACCCTCCATGGCCCTTTGACAGTGATTCACTTCTAAACCCAAGTGAACGAGATAAGTGCATCAGTGTTTGAGCCCACACGACTTTCCCTAGAGAACTGCAATGCTGAACCAGCTCTAAAGGTAGCAGAAGAACTGCTAGTTTCACACTCTGGTATGAACCGTAATTATAAAGCCCTAAATTCTGTGTTTGTATATATGTGAACATAGCAACTCAGGAAGACTTTGGCTTTTCCACTATCAATGTATTATACTACATTTTGAATTCACATTTCTGCTCAAAGACCCATCCATCCCCCTTGAACCAATCATGACTCCGTGCAGAGGGTGTGAACAGATAGGGTATTGTGGTTTCTCTGGCACACCAGGACCAAAAGCAGTTTATTCCTTCTGAGTGTTACACACACACACCACCTGTTTGACGTCACTCCAGAGTGGCAGACAGGCAAGCCTCAGTTCTTTACACTGAATCAAAGTGCTAGGCCGAGCAGGCACTGCCCAGGCCCTAAGAAAAGTTTGGCTCTCTCCACCTGTCTGCGTTCTGCAGTCATTCTGACGCTCCTGAACCTGGAGCCCACAAGGCAGAGTGACGAAGCAGCCGAGCCAGACCCTGAAGATGTTATATGGGGGAGGAGCAGTGCTCCGCTGCCTTCTGTTGTGCCATCTTAGGAAGCAAGGTGCCCTAGGAACATATGGCTGGCCTCTGGGCATCAGTAATGACAACCGAGTTTACTCGCTAGCTCAGGAGTAAAGATGCCCAGGATGCTGCACTGCAAGCCCTGGACCAGGCGCCTCACACTCAGAGTTTGTCTTTTTGGCTTATTGGTTTTGGATATATAATTACAGAGGAAATGTTTATTTTTCTGTTTTCTCTCTTGCTACACACATGGTGGCAAAAAGTTATTTCTGGAAATAATTTCATTTTGAAAAATTGCTTTCTACTTCATTTGGCAAAAGTGTACAGGTCTTTAGTTCCCCATTTCTTCTCTCTCTCTTCTTCAGTGTGCAGATTATCTCTCGAACAGAAAGAGGGTTACCTCTGTAGAGGAAGCTTTTGTGTGAAGTGTTGAGTCACACAAGTAATTCCTTTAGACTGTCAGCTGGGGGGGTCTTTTTTGCTTTGTTTTCGGGGGACACATAGCCACACCTACATCTAGCCCGGATTGAACACAGTTCTGTAACTCCTAACTCAGGTAGGGTTTAGTGACATTCTGTTGATGAGCTAAGGCTAAGGGGCCCTCTACCCATACTTGATGTTTTTAGTCTTCAGGTCTATAAAATGCAGCAATATGTATTAGCAATATTTCTGTGGTCACCAGCATGTCTGAGTTTGACCTTAAGTCTCTGAATAATTAGATTGTTTCTTGACACCCCACCCCTGCCAAATCATGTATCTTTTCACTCTGGTCCTGTTTGTAGCAGTATATTCATGTGTATTTCAGCTCTTGTCCTCATTATTTTCCTATGAACAGTAATAGATGTATTAGTACACAGAATTAATAGTGTACTAGGAACAGCACTTAGCAGATGGGGAATTTTTTTATCAAGTTCCACATTTACATAAGTTATTTCTATTATTATTCATGCATATTATTTATTTCTAAACCACACCAGTCCTGTGAAAGCACAAGTAACGGCAGATACTAATGCTCATTATCATGGTCTTGATGGAGTGAAGGAAACAAAGTTACAGTGATACCCCGGATAAGCTGCATGAGTTTAGCATGATTAAAATTTCAGTTGGTTAGGGGTAGTACTTTTGGTGTCTAGGCGTCTTATGTTAAAAGAGGCAAAGCCACAGACTTGTAGCTGTTGCTTCTGGCAGATGTGTGTGTTTAGTGTAGTGTAGGAATAATTACGGGAAGTAGTAAGGTAGAGAAGCATGTAGGGACTGTCAGGTGGCCAGCAAAGTGGATGCCATGCATCTGGGTGCTGCTTCCTGACTGGTTCTACGAAACAAAGCCTCTCTAAGCAATCCTGTGCCCTTGTAGGTGTCCTGTGGAGCAGTGAGGACAGGTGGTACTGTGGAGAAGGGAGCAGTGGGCGGGGGGGGGGGGGGTCTGTAGAACCAGAATGCCAGTTTATGGCAGGCGACTTTGCTGTATATGGGAGCAGTCCACCTTAGGGTCGCATGTTATCTGGGATCTTAACAACCAGACATCCCCAACAACTCAAAAGCCTGTTGTGTTTCTGCTGTTTCTGGTCTTAGCTGAAGGTTACTGGGCAAGTGTTTGCTAAAGAAGAGCAGTGTGTGTTAGGGCACAGTGCCGCGTCCCAGAGTGCTTGTTAGCAACAGGGACTGTTACAGGGTTGTCCTCTTTTAAATGTAGAGGGTGTGTTCTCTTTGTATTCCCATACAGACTAGTTAAAACTTGCTTCTAGGGTTTAGCCAAGCCATTGTACACCACAAGCTGCTTTTTGTTTGACTTAGAATAGAAATGTTTAAAGGTAAAAAGAAAACTCCATTTGGACATCGGGCTCATTGTTTTCTGGACTGAATTGTAGAAGTCCCACACATTAGATGCTAATCTAGGCTGTGGAAGCCAGCCCCAGACGTCCAGGGCCCCCACACTGTACATCCAACCCCTGAATCTTATCCTCCCTTCCTGGAGGTGCTCATACCACCACCCTGACTTGTCCCTTTGATGCTCCCCGCCTCCTTGGCTGAGTTCTGGGCATCAAGCACGTGATGGGTGATACTTTGAGCACCAAGTATGCTTGCCTAGGCCTGGCTACCACCACCCCCACTTTGCCTTTGGTTGGCCATAGTCATCAAGAGATAATACCTGATGCCAGGCACAGACTGTACTCATGATGTCAGTCATAAATGCCCCCTAGTGTTTTTCTGTGCATCCTGATCTTTAAATCCAGTCATGATGCAGAGTGTTCATTGTTGGCTGTGGTCCCAGGTGAAAAACATTCCAGGCTGCTCGACGCTGTCCAACTGTCGGCTCTGCTCATAATGTGTTTCATCAGACTTGAAACTCATTCTACTGTTTTGATTTCACGGTGCAGACATCAGGGTGCACATTCTCTCAAGGTGCATAACTATTCTCATTCTGTTTGCGCATATCGCTATAGAATGCTCTGTTTTGGTGCTTTGGGTTCAGCAGGTCAAAGAAGCAGTATCACTACCTAGGACACAATCTTGGAGGCACTGGGCAGGAGTCTTGGTGTTGATGTTGCCTCTGCTCTTTGTGCCCACTAGATGAGGTTAGCAGGGGCCTTTCTTTGAGTGGTCTGTGAAATGCGGTGTACACTCAAGGGTGAGTGTGGCACATCCTCTCTGGCTGCCCTGCCTATCCACGTTACTAGTCCTCAGGAAAATGACCCTAGGGTATATAGATAGCAAACAGATGGATGGGCCAATAGACCTATGTCACTCTAATGACATGCACCCCCTCCACATGAAACCCTCCCGAGGAGAAGCATGAAGGACATCTCTGAAAGTAGTGGTCAGTTTATCCAAGCCCTTCGCACTTAGAAGAGTGGGAAAGTGGGATGTGTGCTGTGTCTGTGCCATCCAAAGACCACAACCTCTGTGGAATCTCCCATCTCTACAAGTCTCTTTCTGAGAACAGCGTGGTACGGACGGGGTGGGAGTTTCCAGGCGAAGTAGCGCTGCAGCCCTCACTCTGTTGATGGGAGAGGAAATGGGCAGGAAATCGAGGGTTACAGATCATTACTCCTTTGGAAACTGGATTTCTTACTGGGTGCTAGACTGCAAATTTGGTATTTATTGTCAGGTAACTGAATTCATTGCTTTTCAAAACCGTTGTTCAAATGCCACTGTCCATTGGAATCACCTGTGTGCCCGCTGAATTGGTTGACGCCAAACCAGAAACTGGTTTGTACATTTGTCACACCTTTTGTATTTCTTAAAATAAAAACGGTAGTTCCACACTCCTTCCTTAGAGGTGCATTGCTATACTGGCTGGCTGTCTTTTTACTTAAATGGGTATCATTGCAGCAACACTATTGCATTATAGAACGTGTTATGTGGTGTTACTTTTCAAAGAGGTCCTTTATCAAGGATGTGCTCACTGATAGGACCAGCTCACTGAGCTTACAACTCACTGAACAAATACTGAGTGGGCGAGCAGGTGACTGCTGAACGCTTTAGATAGAAATCAATAAAATAGGGGCAGTGCTTAAGAGCTTGCAGTAGAGAGAAGTTACCATGAGAAAGATTTGTGTCACCAAATTGGTCCAGTAGAGATACCCAGGGGTTTCATAGAAATAAGGCTTGATAATCCTAGGGGATGGCGCGGTGGATGTGTTTGCCGAGCAAGCGTGAACCACCAGATTCAGACTTCCAACCCCCACAGAGAAGAGCTGAGTACGGCTGCTTGTCCCTGTGACCCCAGCACTGGGTGGCGGAGACAGATATCTAAACATAACAGGTAGGCACTGGTTCAGCAAGAGATCCTGTCTTTCAGGAATAAGGCCTAGAGGTGAAAGACCCAGCGCCCTCCTCTGGCTTGCGCATGCGCATACACAAACACACCTTCACACCAGTGTGCATGAACAGCACACTGGGGGAAAAGTGAAGCAAGGTTCACTGAGGGATGGCTTAGTCACTAAAGTGCCTATATTGAAACTATGAGGACTGAGTTTGAATCTCCAGCACCCACATAAAATCCAGGTGATGTCACCTTTAACACGGATTCAATTTTTTTTTATAATAAAAACCCAGAGTCAGATATTAGGGGCGAAAGCTGAGAGATCAGAGAGGCAGAACAGTCACCCTCTGGCGAGTTCTTACCTCTACCAGTGCTCAGATGGAAGGAGGCGATCCTGTCTCTCAGATGGAATGCTGTCTCTACAAAACCTCAGGCTCGTGCTCAGACTGAATCCTCAGATTGCACTAGGCTCCTGTGTTCTACCACCTTATATTCCTCTCTCCACCGAGCCATAGTACACCAGTCTCCACCTCCCTAGTGCTGGGATTAAAGATCCCTGGGAAGTAAGTAGAAAGTAGAAAAAGACAAAATCTAGTATATGGGGACCTTGGGGGAGGGTTGAAGGGAGGAGGAGAGAGGCAGGAAGGGGAGCAGAGAAAAATGTAGAGCTCAATAAATATCAAAAAAAAATTAAAATACTAAAGTCACTCACGTCTGTAATTCTACTGAGAGGGCAAAGACAGCTACTGCCCTAGAACCCAAAGGCTAGCCCATCTGGTCTGTTGGTGAGCCAAGTCCAGTGATAGACCCTGTCTCAAGAAGATGAAGTGGAGAGTAATCACAGAAGTCATGGATGTCCACATGCAGTGCACTCATCAAAGAGTACTTGCAGAAATAAGGCTTGTGAATACTCAAAGACCAAGAGCTGCTGGCCTCAGGAGACATACTCTGTGTACAGGCCCACAGTGAAGGAGGAGGCAGGAAGGCACGTGACACAGCCTGGGGTTAGTGACATAAGCTACAGAAAAGCATCACCGGGCACATGCATGCCACGTACGCAGCTGTACCTCCCAAACTATGGTCAAACAGATCCTTCTATTATCTCTGACACACTCAAATTCCGTCAAAATCTTTGTAGCTTGTCACAGACTTTTACCCTTTGGAGTTCAGCCCAGTTTCTAGTTCCTTGTTTTCTAAGGAAAACCAACAAATGTATGTCCCAGTTTATTATTTTAATTTTCAGTATTGATTTACCCATCATGAATATTTCTCTCAGACTGTTCAAGTTAAATGCAACTTCCAGCCTACACAAAATGGGAAAGCTCACAGGGAATTCTTAAGGTCTGCAAACTTAAAATTCACAAAATATTTCTATGTATTTCACACACTTTCTTTTCTGCTTTTTTTTATTCTTTAAATATATATAACGAGAATTGATTCCACAACCTCATAGTAGGATATGAATTGGTGAGGGAGGTAAGTCTAAAGCCAAGCCAGGAGATGAAGTCATAGTCAATACAAAGGAGTTTGCTTACCTTTGCTTGATAGTGTGTAGGTGGACTCTTCCTTTCCCACTCTCCCAAACAACCAACAGAGACTTAATATGAATTATAAATGTTTGACCAATCTCTCAGCCTTTTTACCAACTAGCTCTTACAACTTAAATTGACAAATCTATATTAATCTATATTCTGCCACATGGCATTACCTCGTTCATCTTGCACTTTCTGTTTCCTCCCATGGCTGGCAGGTGATGCCTGTGACTTTCCCGTATTCTTTGTCTGGTTTTCCTGCCTAACCTTATCCTGTCCAGTAGCTTCTTTATTAAACCAATTACACTGTAATTTACAGAGTGTACCAAAGGATGATTCCATAGCAACTGTGTACTCATTAGAGGCAAATTAATAGGCATAGCTGAGATTCTTAAACAGTAAGGCAAAAATGAACCATGGTTGCTTATAGATAGTCCCTTCATTGTGAATAATAGTATGTTTAAATTAGACCTCAAGAATCATCTGCCATACGACTTGTCTTTAAGATTTTTAGACCAGGGGGCTGGAGAGATGGCTCAGAGGTTAAGAGCGCTGGCTGCTCTTCCAGAGATCCTGAGTTCAATTCCCAGCAACCACATGGTGGCTCACAACCATCTGTACTGAGATCTGGTGCCCTGCTCTGGCGTGCAGGCATACATCGAGGCAGAATGTTGTATACATAATATATAAATAAATCTTTAAAAAAATTTTAGACCATAAATTGTACTCAAATTTTAAAATTATAAGGGAAATATTCCTGATGGATACTATAAAGCTGAAAGTTAATCTTCATTAAGTTATTGAAATCGCATGACTTACTAAGAAGTCATAGCACAAATTTCCACAGATGATAGGCATTTACAATGAGGTCTGGTCACACAATCATTTTCTTCAAAGCTGTGTACAAATAGATCTTTTATTGTCACTGCTATATGTTCTTGCCATTGAATACCATTTAGTCACTCCTACCAGGCATGGTGGACATCTTTAATTCCAGATTACAAGAGGTAGAGATAAGTAGATATCAGTGAGTTCAAGGCCAGCCTGGTCTACGTAGTGAGTTGTAAGCAAGTCATGGTTACATAGGGAAACTTTGTCTCAAAAAATAAAAAGTTCCTTAAGGTAGTTACTACTTTTCCAGAGGACCCAAGTTCAGATCTCAGCTCCCATGTCAGTAGCTCCCACCAGCCTGTAACTCCAGGTCCAGAGCATCCATCACCCTCTGTAGGCACTGGAATGGACATGGCATAGCAGACACACACAAAGATATTTCTAAAGGGGGGGGGGGGCTTGGAGAGGTGGCCAGCAATTAAGAACACTTGCTGCTCTTGTCAACTACCATAGTTTGGTTCCTAGCACCCATATAACAGCTCATAACCATTAGGGGGGTTCATTGTCCTCTTCCGGCCTCAGCAGGAGCTTCACACATGAAATAGAAGTCAATCTTTAAAAGAAGCTCATCACAGACTAGACATTTGTGGAGCTCACAGCAGTGGGTCTGCTCCACTTTGACTGAAGGTTGAGAGCTTAAGCCTATTCTTGCCCTTTCAAGGTTATTGACAAGATGTCTGACTTGAACGTGTGGTTATAAACAAGATATCTTGACCTAGGGTGTCATTACTTGGTGTTTGGGGTATTATGATGGCCCATAGAGGTAGATCTGTTCCACCCTGACCAAAGGTCAGAGAATTTAAGCCAGTTCCTGCTCCTTCAAGGATATGACAGGAGGTTTGACCCAGGGAGTGGCTGCCTACAGGATGCTTGGTCTAAAATGTAGTTGCTGCATGTTCTGCCTAAACAACAGAATGCTTAACTCAAAATATAGTTGCTTCATGTTTCATGTATTGAAGCAGGTAATTGCTCTGTTTGTTTGCTCGTGTTAAAGCAGTCTTTTGCCTTGTTCCCCACCCCCACCTTTGAATTGCGTATGTCGGCATATGGAAAATAAACACAGGCAAATTCAGTATTCACTAAATTTCCCTCCCGGTTCTATTCTGCATCTCTGTTCCTTTTCTTTTGTATCTCTGTTGCTCCTATCTTAGATTTCCGCATGCCCCTACCCTGGTACGTGTGAACCCTGTTGGTGCTGGACCCTGATACATGGTGGTAGTACACATCTGTCATCCTGGTACTCAGAAGGCAGAGCCAGGATGATCTCTCTGAATTCTGGATCAGCCTGGTCTACGTAGTGAGTTCCAGAACAGCCAGGACTACAGAGAGAAACTCTGTCTCGAAAAACAAGAAGGAGAAGGAAGAAGAAAAGAAGAAGGGGGGGTCTTTACACTGATTATTTCACGTTTGGAGTGTCTGAAGAAGAATGAATGGGTCCCAGGAGGTCAGTTTGCTCAGTTAAGGTCATTCTGGACACACAGTTGAAGCAAGCCATTTCATTAGGTTTCATGTCAGTCTCAAACACCCAGACTGCTACTTGTAAATTCCAGCCGCAGCGGGCCGTATTTCTTCTTATGTGCACAGGATACAGGAAACTTGTTTCTAGACAGAAAAGGAAAGATAAAAATATCCTGGTTCCTTCCTAGAGTTGCTTAGACTCCAACTCTATCTATATTCTTATGGTGAATTCTGCCTTTAGCTTTTGAATCTGCACCCATTGTATATATGCTGAGTGAATATTCTTGAAGAAATCATTGAGTATTCCTGCCAAAATCCCTCTTTTAACGTTGCTATATTCATAGTTCCTCAAACTTTAAACACAAGAGCTTTTAAAGGTGAAAGACTTGGGGGAAAAAAACATATGTGATTTGGAATGTGGCAAAGATTTGCTACAGAGGCCGGGCGGTGGTGGCACACGCCTTTAATCCCAGCACTCGGGAGGCAGAGGCAGGCGGATCTCTGGGAGTTTGAGGCCAGCCTGGTCTACAGAGCTAGTTCCAGGACTGGCACCAAAGCTACAGAGAAACCCTATCTCAAAAAAAAACAAAAAACAAAAAAAAAAAAAAAGATTTGCTACAGAGGACAGAAATTATTAGTAAATG